GAGGCCCTGATCATGCATGATCATGGACATCAATCACACCTACCGCGGCAGCAAATATAACAGTTCTCTTTCCTGAACTTTCTTGACCTCCCTAAACACAAAAACAGGAAGTGATTGAAGCAAGTGACTTGTACACTAGTATATAGCGTATAAGTATATATTCAGTCCATCCAGCTAAAAAACTCAAAACATAAACACACCAGGATAAGCTACGACTATGGATATGTGACTAGATAATGTGTCATATAGTGGATATCGTCAATATAATTTTATAATTTAAAATTTGTTCAATTTCTATTTTTTATGGTAAAATAAAATATTTTTCGTACTAACATGATATTCGACTTTACGCAAATTGTCTAAGAGGGGAATGTCTTGACGGAATATCTTGGCATTTCAGTAGAATCCATCATTCAAGAACTTATATACGTATATAGCTTATATTCAATTACCAATATCTCATTTCATGTGGCAATTTACTGACTAATTGTTTAATGTTTATCATCGGAAACTGGTAGCAGTTCACTGTTTAATATTTATATAACCTACATGAGGCGACAGTCGAGTGTTTTATATCTGATAAAGCATGGACTGCAAATGTTTCAGCATGAGCTCCACCTTTGAATTTACTATATGAGTAAATTCTTAAACACGTCCGAATTTATCATTATGATAAATTCGCGGCAAATTTTGAATTTATCATAATGATAAGTTCGCGGCACCTAACACTAACCCTAACCCCAACCCCAATCCTAACCACTAACCCCTAACCACTAACCCCTAACCCTTTTTTAACTTTTTAAATTTTTTAAACTTTTTTAAAAATCTAACTTTTTTGCTTTTCAAAACTCTTTTAAAATTTTTAAAACTTTTTTAAAAACTATTTTTTTAAAAAAACTTGAAAAACTGCGCAGACCACATCACGAACAATCATGGCTTTGACATCCGATTGTGTTAACTGGGTTCTCTGACCACCTCGCTGGAACTTCAAGAGCTGGATTTGTGGACCATTCTGGACCAGTGACTGGAACGCTACCTCCAACCGGAAATTTGAAGCCAAACTTGGCCGGCTCAATCAGTCAATCATGATATAAACAATAAGGGGTGCACCGGATAGTGATTTTTACTATCCCGCCGGATACCGGATTTGCTGGATACCTGAAAAAAAATCCGGTCGGATACCGGATAGTTTATTCAATTTGAAAATTTGAACGGCTGCAACTGAAAGATCATTGAACCGAAATTAGTATAGGCCACATTAGGTGGCGTGACAAGGGGCGGGGACTTTTATAAACAAGATTGACATTTTGAAGTAATAGCAAAGTACAATTAGTTGATAGACAGAATAATACAAAAACAACATTGAGACTGGGCCATTCCATTTAATATACACACCCCCCTGTGGACGAAAATTTCCGAGGGGGGTTGAAAAAGCCGTTTCTGAGGGGTTGTGTGCATCGGCATCCTTTGATCTTCGCGTTTTTTCCGAGGGGTAAGGCAAAAATTTCTTAATTTCTGAAGGGGTGTTTGTATCGGCACTTTGATCTTTTTTTCTTAGGGGTTCAAATTTTATTGACTTCGTCCACAGGGGGGTGTGTACATTAAATGGAATGGCCCACTGTGAGACATATCGTGATTCGTGAGACTGTGAGAAATTTAATATTTTAGGTTTAAGTTTTGTAAGTTTTATTTTTGGATTTTCGATTAAATAATTAATAGTATACTACGTGAGTAATGAGTTCGGTATACTAGTGGTGCCGTGACCAGGATACGAGAGGAAAAAAGCGACGGAAATCAAACACACAAAGCGGCGAAATACGAAGTAAACACTGTTGATTTATCATTATGAGCGACGAAGAGGCGAGCGAGATTACAAACGTTGGTGAGCAAAAACTCGAAGGAGATATTGAGAAAGAGATTTCTAAGTTGAAGTATTTCTTAGAAGAAACAAATGAAATTATTCAAGCGAAAGATTACGGTGAAATGGAAGCTATAAACAATCGCGCTGGGAAAATAATCGTCAAAATATCGGAGCTAATTTCACAAACAGAAGAGTTGAAAATCGATAACGGCAAAACACCGCGTTCAGTTAGACAGTGGGAAAATAAAGTTCAGAAGACAAAGAGAAAATAGCACAACAACTAAAGGAAAAACAAGAAAAAGCTTATGACGAAGCTGAATTACGACGGCTAGAATTGAAAGATAAACAATTTCAACAAGAAGAACAACGACGAGCTGAAATTCGCGAAGCACAAGAGGAACGCGAACGACAATTATGGCAAGAAAGGCACGAAGCTGAATTACGCATGACTCAGAGAAAGATTGAAATAGAAAAGACCGCTCGTTCATCTGCAGCGAAATTACCAAAGTTAAAAATAGGTACGCGACCGCGTACATGTATCTGCGCATTAAAGGTCCAGACACGCTGGACGCGATTCGACAACGCGACGCGATTTTTCGATTTTCACTGACCGTTAAATTTAATCCAAGTTTACATTTTCCAAATATTTAGAAGCGCTATAACATTCTAAGTTACTTGGTCTACATATGTTTGTAACTGATTTGCTCTCATTGGCTGTTTTTCAAACTAATTATATACTGAAAAATCGCGTCGCGTTGTCGAAGCGCGTCCGGTGTGTCTGAATCAGTCTTAAGGTCTGATTCCACGACGGCGAAATTCGTCGCGAGAGCTTGTGTCTGCGAAATACGGTGGTTGCACATGAGCGATTGTATTGAATTGTCCCACTTTGTCCGCTTTCGCAGTAAGTAGAAATGTTTCGCATTCATTGATGGTGCATTCTCGAAATGACATTTTTACAGCAATTGTGCGAAATTGTGCTAGTTGAAATTATATGCCTGCTTCAGATATAATATTTACATTTAACTAGTGACTTCTAAATTAAGAGGACGAGAACCATTTATATCCCGAATCACGGCAACTGATAACAATCATACAAAAATGTTTCTTTTTATCTGGAGCTAAATATCTGCTATTCATACAGTTCATTACTTTTAAGAACAATTTAAAGAAAATAATTAATTAAGGCTGTAAAATGTGTGGATTTATTAAAGACGTGGGATTAGACGTCTGTACATGGAGTCATGAGCTAATAATAGTTTCTGACATTTAAAACAACAGGGCTACGTTTATCCTATGCTTTGTTTTCATAGTTTAGCCTAGTTTCAGAGGCCTCCATTAAATAACAGTCAAGATATATACGCAAATATAATTTGCGTGTCTATTTAAAATTTGTAATTGTTTCGTGGAGATTCAACCATAAAACAATTGCCGGAAATGCAGGTCCTGTTTATAAAAACTCAGGGAAAACCCGTGCGGTATGAAATGCATGGCGTAAACATGTCAATCAAATATCTATAAATATGACGTTTTATAATTGCACAGTACATCGTGTACGTTCTTGTTGTAGAACTTGTGTTGCTCCAAATCGAGTATGAAGTAAAATCAGGAGCATACTGTCACAGGCTAATTTTGTATTTTAATACCTCTGGAAATATCAAGGCTTTGGTACCCCTATCTATCACAAAACTGAGTAACAAATCCAAAACGAAGTATGAGGACTAATATTTTTATATATATCATTTCACAGATTAAAAGTATTATTCAAGAAATATGTCCATTTTGATCTTAACGTGATACGAAAATACTAAATAACATGCAAAATTCAGTGCCAAAGAGGGATTTATTTTGCGGTAGTTAAATATGTAAACATATGTTCTCAAACTGGCAGAGTTTAATACCAATTAAAGCTCGCAATGCTATATATTTGGTTTGATACGAAGATAAAATAGTAAATACTCATAATAATTACAATATGTCCATGACCTTACTCAAAAATTTAGATTATTAAATCACATAATGGAACAACTTGCAATTTGCTACGCTCACTCGTTAGCAATAGTTCTCTTCAACACTCGAAATAAATTACATATTTCCGCACAACCATGTATAAATATCCTCTATACATTCCAGTTTACCTTTAATTTGTCAAGTGGTAGGCACAATATTAGTCCTTTTGATTTGTTATTCCCTTTCCCCAACACGGGAGTGATAGGAGCTTGAAAAAATGACAGTTGAATACTTGCGTGTAATTTGCTCGGAGCAATTTGCAATCAACATTGCAAGATTGATTGCAATGTTGCAATACTCATGGGAACAGAACATCCGGTTTGACTGTAAGAGTTATATCAAAAAGACTGCTATAGAAGAAGATTTTATCAAAATAAAGTCAGGATAAAGTCTATTAATAGTTTAATACCACGATTACTAATGATTACTACTCTTGAAAGCTTTTCGAAAGACGCCATCTTGTTTTAAAGCTGTTCTAGCCTGCGAACAGGCCTTCAAAACAAGGTTGACGGACTTAACAACTTAACTTAACTTACTTAACTTTACTTTACTTTACTTTACTTTACTGACTGACGCGATAGCAATATATCTGCGCTACGCGCAGATACAAAAATAACACCGTTTAATGGGACCCCCACAGATTGGGTGCGATTTGAGAACATGTTTTTGACACTTGTTCACGAAAAAGCGAGTACAGCCGAAGAAAAATACGGGTTTTTATTGGAAATGGTGAGTCCAAAGGTGAGGGAAAAGATTGCTAATTTGAAACCAGGTGAAGTCGGTTACAAGATTGCATGGGAGAGATTAAAAAGCGAGTATCGTCACCCCAAACATGTTATCAATGCCCATATGGATGCCATAATTAACTTAACTCCAGTAAGAGGACATAATTATGAAAAAGTTCAAGATTTCTATGAGAAATTAAGCAAGAATTTCGATGCACTTCAAACTCTGGGAGAAAGTGAAAAACTTTCTGGATTTGTTATGACTACAATCAACAAGTTGCCCCACATAAAACCCGACTTGGTTCGAGCGGACGATGACTGGGAAGAATGGTCCATGGAAGTACTAATAAAGAATTTGCAAAAGTGGCTTCGACGGAATAAAGTGGATGATGCGAGCAATCAGAAAGAAACCAGATACAAGAAACCAGAAGGACACTGGTATCAAAAGACATCAGGACCCCCAAAACCTCACTGTGTTTTTTGCGCGAACAATGAACACTGGAGTGATCAATGCAAAACAGTGAAACGATTGGCCGACCGAAAGAAATTCTTCGCTGAGAAGAATCTGTGTTTTAACTGTGGTCGCACAGGGCACAGGGGAAATCAATGCCGAAGTCGTGGTTGCCTGAAGTGTAATGCCAAACATCACACAAGCCTGTGTGATAAGAATGAAGACAACCAAGAGAACAAGACATCATTAACTGGATTTACCACATTAACCGAGGAGAAATCGCTTCCAGCCATTATACCTGTCAACATAAAAGGACAGACCCTGTGGGCATACCTCGACACTGGCTCGAGTCGAAACTTTATTTCACGCGAGGCTGTGAAGAAACTCGATTTGAATCCAACACATCATGAATCCCGCGAGATTGTAACCGTGAATGGTACCTCTACTCAATCCATGCCTATTTTCCAAACAACCATAACTTCTCTTGATGGGAAAGTACAGGAAGAAATCGAACTGACTGGTTCCAGACTTCAAGATTTTACCACAGTTAAGAGACCAGATATGAATGAACTCAAGATGAAGTACACCCATACTCAAGACAAAAGATTTTATATGACCGCCAAAGGGGAACATCCAATTCATCTCATACTCGGTGATGGCACATACAGCAGGATCCGAACTGAGAAAGTTTACAAAGGAAATCCCGGAGATCCCCTTGTGGAGGAGACAACATTCGGATGGGTCATACATGGTGGTGAGGATTATTCGAGCGATGCCTGTATGTTCACTAGAGAAATTTACGATTACGAACAGTTATATAGTCTTGATGTTCTCGGAGTTGAAGACCGTGGTGAAAATGATCAAATGCAAGTGCTTGCTGAGTTTCGAGAGAACATAACCAGACAAGAAGATGGCAGATACCAAGTTAGCATACCATGGATTCCAGGGAGTAAGTTGACAACTACAAACGAACAGCCAAGCAGAAGACGACTGTTCAACGTGAACAAAAAGTTAGCGAAAGACGAAAACCTGAAGCAAGAATATGAGAAGATTATCGATGATCAACTAGCAAGCGGTGTGATTGAGAAAGCCCCAGACGAGCCGTCAGGAGAGCGAGTGTACTACATGCCACATAAGCCAGTCGTAAGGCAAGACGCAGCGACAACGAAAGTGAGAATGGTCTTTGATGCGAGCTCCAAACCCCATCCACTAGCATCCAGTATTAACAATTGTATGTTTACTGGGCCTCCCCTCCAACCGTTATTGTGGGATATTATGGTCAGAGCAAGAATGTCGTCAAATCTGCTTCTTGCAGACATTCAAAAAGCCTTTTTACAGATAGCAATCAAAGAAGAAGACAGAGATGCCTTCAGATTTCTCTTCGAGCGCGACGAAAAAGAGGAACATTTTCGGTTCGCCAGAGTTCCATTCGGGGTTGAAGCCAGCCCATTCTTACTCGGTGCTACATTAGAATACCACTACGACCAACAATCACCAGAATTAGAGGAAACAGTGACTGCCCTTAGAGAAAATACGTATGTGGACAATATCATGCAAACGGGAAATAACATTGATAAGTTGGAGAAGTTTAAGAAAGAAAGTGAAGTTATTCTTGAGAGTGCAAAATTACCGATTCACAAGTGGGAGTCGAACATCGCGACATTAGAGGATGAGAACATGTCAAATCCTAGCAAAATTCTTGGTCATGTTTGGGACAAGCGTGAAGACACTCTAGAAATACAAGTACCAGCAGTACCTGAGACAGAACCAGTTACGAAACGAAGCATCTTGAGTCAGCTTGGCAAAGTGTACGACCCATTGGGAATAATATCACCCACGATGGCCGAAGGAAAACACATTTACAGAGAGGCTTGTGAAGAGAAAAAGGGATGGAACGCCGAGGTTTCACCAGAATTGAAGAAACAGTGGCACAAATGGAACAAACAACTAAAGAACGTGAAAGTACCGAGGAGCTTAACAGGAAATTCGAAGGAAACGAAGGCTATCGAGCTCCATGTGTTTGCCGACGCAAGCAATCTCGCATGTTCTGCAGTAACCATAGCACTAGTTGAACATTCATCTGGAACGATCAAAGGGTTGCTGACATCGAAGTCCCGGATTTCAAAAAGAAACACTTCGATACCCAGATTGGAACTCGTAGGAGCTCACATGGCTGCGAACATGGCGAAGAATTTACGTAACGCTCTTCATCGGCACCCAATCAAGACCATTGTGATCTGGTTAGATAGCATGGTAGTGCTTTACTGGTTGACCAATCCAGGGAAACCATGGAAGACGTTTGTCTCCAATCGAATCAAGAAGATAGCTGAGATAACCAACGAGCTTGGTATCATTTGGAAATATTGTCCGTCAAATAAGAATCTTGCTGATCTAGGGAGCAGAGGAGCAACCATGGAAAAATTGCAAAACGGAAGCTGGTTTAACGGTCCAGATTGGTTATTAGAGAAAGAACAATGGCCAGAGCAACCAAATTTGAAAGTAACTACATCTGTCAGTCAAGAATGCAAACCAATTAAAGAGCAAGCACTGTTTACGAAAGATCGAGAGCCAGACGAATGGGACGCTTTGTTAGAAAGAAACACATACTGGCGTACATTGCGAGTAACATCATGGGCATTAAGATTTCTAAACAACTGTTTGGCAAGAGTTCGTCGAAACCAAAAGCGATCGGGGCCTCTTGTAAGCGAAGAAATTACAGTTGCAAGAAACGCTTGGGTAAGGAGAGTACAACAAGGTGTCAACCCTGAATTACAAGCGCCAGGTTGGAGAATCGTCGAAGACGAAGTAACGAAAGTTCTCAAGTGTAAAGGAAGAGTAAATGGATACGAGCCAATATACCTTGACGGAGGACTGTTCGTAGAAAAGCTAATAGCCCACACCCACAGCAAGATCAAACATTTCGGTGTCGCAAATACCATGGCTGCTTTGAGAGAACAGTGGTGGATACCACAACTTAGATCAAAGGTGAAAAAATTAATCAACAATTGCAATATCTGCAAGTTGTATTCCACGAAGCCGTATGGGTCACCATTGACGAGCAACATGCCCAGCTTTAGAACAGAATCTAGCGAACCATTCGAAGTCACCGGTGTCGATTACGCCGGGCCGTTAAGACACAAAATCAGTAAGAGAGAAGAGGGAAAGTGCTACGTATTAATCTTCACGTGTGCAGCATCTCGAGCGATCCACCTGGAACTAACCAAGAGCCAAGAAGCAGAGGAATTCCAACGAAAGCTCAACTCATTCATCGCTCGAAGAGGAAGACCTCGATTAATGATATCGGACAACGCAGCGACATTTAAAACGACAGCCAAACTAATCAAAGCCATTAGAAAGAGTGAGAAATTGCACGATTTCCTAGCAGCACAAGGTATACACTGGAGATTCAACCTTGCTAAATCCCCTTGGTGGGGAGGGATCTATGAAAGATTGATTCGGGAAGTAAAGAAGACCCTTTATAAGACCCTTGGAAGATCGCACCTTTCATTCGAGAATTTGGAAATGGTCCTCATGGACATTGAAATTAATATGAACAATCGTCCATTAACCTATGTCGAAAGCGAAAGTGGAGAGGAAGAAGTACTAACGCCAAACGTTCTCATCCGAGGGAGAAACACTTACCTTCTTGATGACATAGAGAATGACGTAGACGAGCTTACGAAGATGCAAAAGAGAATCGCCAAAGCAAAGAACAACGCTTGGAAAAGATGGCAACGAGAATACGTACACAGTTTAATGGAAAGCCAACGAGTAAACGGAAAGCCAGTTAACGCGCCTGAAGTCGGTGAAGTAGTTTTAGTCGTGGGAGAAGAAAAGAACAGGAGCGAATGGAAGAAGGGAAATTAAAGGTAGTGCGACAAGTCAAAGGTAAGGACGGAGTGGTGCGTGGTGTGGTACTTTTACACAAGGGACACACTATCGAAAGACCGTTACAGTTGGTGTGTCCACTCGAAATTCGATGCACAACGCAAATAGAACAAAGAAAGAACGAAGAGAAGCAGACGGTTGAAAATGAAAGGAAGAAACGGGGAGCAGCAATTGAAGCAAGTAAGAAAATACGTGAGCTAGCAGAAAACGAGGATGCAGACTAAGCAGGGAACAGTAAATGAGAACAGTTCACATTGTGTTGACTTATAAAAATTAAGACTGAATTTTTAGGGGAGTAGTGAACCGAAATTAGTATAGGCCACATTAGGTGGCGTGACAAGGGGCGGGGACTTTTATAAACAAGATTGACATTTTGAAGTAATAGCAAAGTACAATTAGTTGATAGACAGAATAATACAAAAACAACATTGAGACTGTGAGACATATCGTGATTCGTGAGACTGTGAGAAATTTAATATTTTAGGTTTAAGTTTTGTAAGTTTTATTTTTGGATTTTCGATTAAATAATTAATAGTATACTACGTGAGTAATGAGTTCGGTATATCATAATATATTGACCATATGTGAAATTATTTGTAAAAAACACATATAGAGATTAGATGCACAAGCGAATAAAAGGTTCAAAACCAGAAAGCCTTATAAAATTATATAGATATGGTTTATACAATTTCTACACAGACAATTAAAAATTCAACTTGTAAATAAGGGATCGGTCATAAAGTATGTGTACTGGAGGGGGGGTGGAGGGTATTCCAAAATACTACCATAAAATTTGGCACCCCCCTAAAAGCGTCGGAAAATATTAAATATTTAATACCCCCCTCAAAGGAGATTAACTGTTTCGTACCCCCCCCCCACTTCCCCGTGCACCCAACCAATCACCCTCCCCCAAAGATGTCAAACTACAATAGGTTCCGATCGAGACACTTTCATAAATACTACTGTGCTACATTGCGCGAAATTTATTAGGAACATTTAGGAACATACACTCGATTTTTTTAACGTGTATTGTATCATAAAAGTCTGTAGTTTTATTGAATCATAGACATAGTATTCGACTCATTTTTTGTTTCGTACCCCCCCCCCAATATTAATGTCGTAATTCGTAATGCCCCCACTTATCCCCCTCCGCCACGTCCCCCACCCCCGCCCAATACACATACTTTATGACCGGTCCCTAATGGAAAACTGCAACTGCATTTCTTATTCCACTATCTATGATTTCACCGAATCGAGAAGGCATATATGGACGACTAGGAAATTTTAAACTTTTTCCATTTTTTGACTCTAGCTGGCGTTTATGCAGTAGATATCTATGAACTGACCTTGCAAGTATTTAGTGTGGCATGTGGTATAGTTTAAATTGGACTGAAATCGTTTTCTTTTTAATTAAGAAAAATATTGTAAAAACAGTCATTTCACCTTTTGCTTTGTTTTCTATGGCATTTAATAAACACGCGTGTCTTGACCCACAGACACGCGCGTGTCTTGATCCCCAGACACGCGCGTGTCTTGATCCCCAGATCCCCAGACACGCGCGTATCTGGGTGGATTTGTCTTCGAGAAAAAAATGCGCAAAATACACGACATTTGCTAAATACGGTCGTCGAAACGATTTTTAAGTCCATTCCATATACGATGTAGTCCATTCCAATCAGTAGTATCGTTTAGTGTTTCTAATATAGACATAGCTAAATCTAAACGGTCAATATACGAACTCATTGTTGTTGCTTACCAAATAGTAAGAAAGTCAAACGCGAAACGATTTTTGGTGCTTATAATAATGCATATACCATCTGACCTTTGAAACTGAAGTCTATTTTATATTTCGTTTTATATCACTAAGAGCGCTTTTCGATTGACTTTTTCCGGCATTCGCAGATTTTAGATTCAAGCTTTATTATCGCTGAACGCTAACGTTCACAACCAGTGGTATAATATCAATTTAGTTGATCAATTGTAGAATTTGAAATTTTATGTATAAATATTATCCAGCGCATGGGCAGTTCTACAATAGTCAGATATTTCGCAAAGTCAGAAATTTCGCGTCACACTGGGCCAGTTTGCCAGCAATATCTGCTCCGTGGGGCTGTCCTTCGTTAGTACATGCATGTCACCAGTGGATTGTGGGTATATGCCTGGATCTTCTCAACGCAATTGCATGGTGACTGGTGACGAACTAACGCGACTTTGCTGTCAAGCCATGTAAACAATTTAACATGGATGGTAGAGATTGGTAGAGATAAGATTTGAGATAAGATTTGTCGCCATGTTCGTTCATTCTCGTATCGTTTGGTCCAGTGGCTGTTGTCACTGCCACTGGCAGTGTGCGTTTGTTTTGTATTTATAAACAACTAGTAAAGCAAGTCATTTAGCTTATTTGACAAGCTTTGCTAAATTATGTTTGCGATGTTACTCTGAGTGCATATCCACACCGGGCGAGCTTGAAAAATATGCCCGGCCACGGTGGGATTCGAACCTACGACCTTTGGAATACTAGCCCAATGCTCTTCCAACTGAGCTACGCGGTCAGGACGGTTCGAGTAAGTGATATTTCGGAACAGTATCTAGTTCCTTCAATACCAATGTGTTCTTGTAATATGAAAAATTCGTACTACTAGAACACATTGGTATTGAAGGAACTAGATACTGTTCCGAAATATCACTTACTCGAACCGTCCTGACCGCGTAGCTCAGTTGGAAGAGCATTGAGCTAGTATTCCAAAGGTCGTAGGTTCGAATCCCACCGTGGCCGGGCATAGTTTTCAAGCTCGCCCGGTGTGGATATGCACTCAGAGTAACATCGCAAACATATTATTCACCTGAGTACACCAACATAGAAAAAATTCATATTACTTTGCTAAATTGCTAAAAATAACTAAAATAAAGCCTTAATTAAATCAGGTCTGCACATAATAATTATTGAGCACCGTGGTTTATGACTGATTTACATCTGGTTTACGACTGATTTAACGATTGAGCCAATCTTTGTCAGCCACTAGTTAACATATGGACTCATGATCGGCGCTGCTTGACTTCGTTTCAAATCGTCTTAGACGTTTAATACGAGACGACTAAACTTGGACGCACTTATAGCAAGGAAACACTATACAACAGATGGTTGTCAAATTAAAACACTTTATATTTTCTTCATTCTATACTAGTTTCCAACTGTTCATCTCGTATTTATATTAAGGCTGTTTTCCACTAGGCGGAATTTTCCGTGCGGAGCGGAATTTTTCTTTGTCTTGTGATTTCTCGGGTGAATGGCCTTTAGTCGCACTTAACACAAGACGTTTAAATTCGTTCAAAGACGTCTTCTAGTATAAATACGGCCATTCAATAGGTTTCACGCAATTCTGCCCCCCAAACCTTCATATTGTTTATTGGCGCTTGGGAATTTCGTCACCACGCATGCATGTTGTTACATGTACTAATAAAAGTACTCTTCTTGAAAAAGCATGAAAAATTATTTATCTCTTCAATATTAAAACTGCAGCAAATTTTATAAAAAATATATTTATTTTGTAGAATGCAGCCGTATATTTGCTTGGTGAACTGCATGCATGCATTCATGTATAAAAATTTGTATCAAAGCATGCATTTTTTTAATTAAACAATCGTGAAAATTAGTGAAATATGATAATAGACAATAGTCTCCCCTGGGAGAAAAAAATAGGGTTCCAGTTGTGGTTTCAGTCTAAATCACACTCGGCCCCTATATATATATATATATATATATATATATATATATATATATATATATATATATATATATATATATATATATATATATATATATATATATATATATATATATATATATATGTTTTTGTGGCAGCTTGTAGAATATGTAATTTGGTGTGGATGCGTATCAAGCCTATACTCAGAAAAATTCTGAGCCCTAACGGGAATTGAACCACGTAACCTTCTGATTACCGGACAGACGCTCTAACCATTGAGCTATAAGGCATCAGATGGTGAGCCAAGGTTACGTTATTTACTAGTTCTGTATGTTACATGTGTACTGCTAACTGCAAGTCTCGACATGTCTTGTTGATGTTATTATTAAGAACTGCATTTCTGTATTTGTGTGTTTTTGTGGCAGCTTGTAGAATATGTGATTTGGTGTGGATGCGTATCAAGCCTATACTCAGAAAAATTCTGAGCCCTAACGGGAATTGAACCACGTAATTCCCGTTAGGGCTCAGAATTTTTCTGAGTATAGGCTTGATACGCATCCACACCAAATCACATATTCTACAAGCTGCCACAAAAACACACAAATACAGAAATGCAGTTCTTAATAATAACATCAACAAGACATGTCGAGACTTGCAGTTAGCAGTACACATGTAACATACAGAACTAGTAAATAACGTAACCTTGGCTCACCATCTGATGCCTTATAGCTCAATGGTTAGAGCGTCTGTCCGGTAATCAGAAGGTTACGTGGTTCAATTCCCGTTAGGGCTCAGAATTTTTCTGAGTATAGGCTTGATACGCATCCACACCAAATCATATATATATATATATATATATATATATATATATGATTTCAACTAGTGAGAGTGTAATTGCCGTGCTGGGCAAATTATATTTTGTTTTATAAAACTCTGCCGAATTATAGCGAACAATGTTTCAAAATGTTCAGCACAAATGCATAATATTGCACCCACTTTACATGGTAAACACAAACATGACTTTATCTCTCCTTGACCTTGTCCTTGGCACAGG